CAACCAAGGCCTCAAGGGAGAGGAGGAGGCATTTGCAGAGAATACAACCATGCCAGATTCATAACGATAGGTTCATTTTGCACCCACAGCAAAAAAATAGGAAAACCATAAAAACTCGTAACAAAACTTGAAACTTCAGACTTCAGAAGTTCACAGGCCTTCTACAGAATCACCCAAAGAAAGCGTTGTCTGGGATCAAACAGGATGGGCATGCTAGAACAAAAATCTTACTGAACCCTTTAAACAAAGCCAAAGAAAAGCCCTGTGCAAAGCAGGGTTGTTGTCAGAACACACCAAGCACAACACTCGGGCTCTTAAACAAAGATCGAGAAAAACCCTGGATCTCAGCAAGCCCATCACATCACCCCTGTGTCATCTCCAAGTCGCGAGTCCGGAAACAACGGTAGTTTAGTTATGAAAACCCTGCTTTGGTGCAAAAACGAAATGGTCGCCGAACCTTGGGCGCCTGTGAGGAACAGGGGACAAGAGTTGGGAAGGTCTTTAACTAATGCAAAAGCCTGGGCTTTGCGTTAGTTAGCTTTAGCCTGGGTTGATTTTCCGTGTTTCTGGGCTTCTTGAGCAAATCGAGCTGAATTCTTCTAATGATGCGACAGACGCGTTGGTTGTCGGTTGGTGGTTCTCACCATGTTTTTACCCAGCCGCGCCCCCAAACGGACCGTAGAACTTTCGACATTTTATTTGTGAAGGTAGAGATGATCTAGATGCCTTAAAAGACACTGACGTTGTTTTAGTTTATACTGTCCTCACAGTCGTATGAAGGTTTCTACTTTCGTGTAACATGTCAGAGTCATAGCTACATAAGGCTTTCAAATGAACTTACGTATTCGGAAACCGTCAAGACCCCCCCAAAAGCCATGAAGGCCAACGATTGACCAGGGGAGAGGGGCACTCCGGAACCTGGCAATCAGCCAAGACCCCAAAAAGAGCCATGGGCCATCGACCGACCGACGGGGAGGGGCACTCCAAGACTCGGCAGGGTTGGGGTTTGCTTTCTTGTTTTTGGTATAAGACAACCAACCCGAATGGCCCAAGATAAACAAATTAGATTGGTTACCCACTCAGAATCTGAGCTCAATTTAACCCACCAAACCTCATTACATTCCCAGGCGCTCCGCTCCAGACTGACACGAATCTCTCAACTTCAGACGGTACAGTGGCCCATGTCGAACTGCATGCCTTGCACACGCAAAGTACCTCCAGCGCCAATGTGACAGCGCAGAAACGATGTCTTTGCATGTCTTGGCAAAGGTTCCTGCTTCCAATAGCCTTGATCTAGATTGGAATCCGGTGCCCATGATTCACCAGTTCCTATAGCTCTCGTAATACAATTGGTAAAGAGATCGCCAAGTGGCTAGCTGTCGTGAGGACCCGCCACATGATGCAAAGCAAATGCAGCACGACCGGACCATTGTGCTTGTAAAAGCAGAGCCAGCGATGCGCCTAACACTTCTGTAAGCTTTGTGCTTGTCTGATTCAAGTGGATGAAGGCTCAACCACTGCAGCAATTGTAAGGTTGGATGCAGTTGGGTCTTCGATTACCAAAGCAAGTTTGACCTTACTTTGAATTTTAAATTGTCCCTCTGTTTCACTTTCTCTTTGGGGGGTCTTCGCCTTCATCTCAGATCCGTTCGTGGAGGGTCTCCACAGCTGCCATCGACCCCGGGCCAACGGCTTTCTCGGAACGGCAGCAGCGTCCCAGCAGCGTCCCCACATCTTATCTCGGAACGAACACCAACGAAAAAGCGTTCGTTCGGTGCGTTAGGTGCGTTTTTCTGTGCGGGCATGGGTCACACCCATGGGTTTCTTTCCAACCCGAGGCAAGTGCCTTTTCTGAGAACCCATCCATCCGCTGACCAAACCTCACCCACCTCAACCCTGAAGTCACTGAAGTCCGTCCGTCCCCTTTCGCCCCTTCGATTCAGATCGACCTGCTCGTCCCAGCTGTTTGCAATGGCTGTGGCAGCATAAACATATTGATTCAAACCTTCATGCGATTAAGAGTTCATCTATTTTTTACATTGTCAATTGTGATTTTCAAAAGCTCGTAGAAGTGGTCATCTGAACAACCCTGTTATAGGACACTCTTGTGGGACACTCTTAAGGGGCACTCTTGTGAGACACTCTTGTCGGACACTGTTGTGGGACACTCTTGTGGGACACTCTTGTGGGACACTCTTCCGTGACACTCTTACGGGACACTCTTGTAGCACACTCTTGTAGGACACTCTTGTGGGACACTCTTGTGGGACACTCTTGTAGGAAACTCTTGTGGTATACTCTTGTGGGACACTCTTGTAGGACAGTCTTGTGGAAGACTCTTGTAGGAAACTCTTGTGGGACACTCTTGTAGTACACTCTTGTGGGACACTCTTGTAGGACACTCTTGTTGGACACTCGTGTGGGACACTCTTGCAGGAAACTCTTGTAAAACACTCTTGTGGGACACTCATGCGGGACACTCTTGTGGGACACTCTTGTGGGACACTCTTGTAGGAAACTCTTGTGGGACACTCTTGTAGGACACTCTTGTGGGACACTCTTATAGGACACTCTTGTGGGACACTCTTAAGGGGCACTCTTGTGAGACACTCTTGTGGGACACTGTTGCGGGACACTCTTGTGGGACACTCTTGTGGGACACTCTTACGTGACACTCTTGTAGGACGCTCTTGTGGGACACTCTTGTAGGACACTCTTGTGGGACACTCTTACGGGACACTCTTGTAGCACACTCTTGTAGGACACTCTTGTGGGACACATTTGTGAGACACTCTTGCGGGACACTCTTGTGGGACACTCATACGGGACACTCTTGTGGGGCACTCTTGTAGGACACTCTTGTGGGACACTCTTGCGGGACACTCTTGTAGGAAACTCTTGTGGGACACTCTAAAGGGCCACTCTTGTGGGACACTCTTGTAGGACACTCTTGTGGGACACTCTTGTGGGACACTCTTGTAGGACACTCTTGTGGGACACTCTTATGTATGGGACACTCTTGTAGCACGCTCTTGTAGGACACTCTTGTGGGACACACTTGTGGGACACTCTTGTGGGACACTCTTGTGGGACACTCATATGGGACACTCTTGTAGGAAACTCTTGTCGGATATTCTTGTAGGACACTCTTGTGGGACACTCTTGTAGGACACTCTGGTGGGACACTCCTGTGGGACACTCTTGTGGGACACTCTTGTGGGACACTCTTGTAGGAAACTCTCGTGGGACACTCTTGTAGGACACTCTTGTGGAACACTGTTGTGGGACACTCTTGTGGGACACTCTTGTGGGACACTCATACGGGACACTCTTGTGGGACACTCTTGTGGGACACTCTTGTAGGACACTCTTGTGGGACACTCTTGTGGGACACTCTTGTGGGACACTCTTGTAGGAAACTCTTGTGGTATACTCTTGTGGGACACTCTTGTAGGACACTCTTGTGGGACACTCTTGTAGGGCACTCTTGTGGGACACTCTTGTGGAAGACTCTTGTAGGAAACTCTTGTGGGACACTCTTGTAGGACACTCTTGTGGGACACTCTTGTGGGACACTCTTGTAGGACACTCTTGTGGGACACTCTTGTAGGGCACTCTTCGTACGAGACTTCCTCCAAAAAGTCACACGTCAAGTCTCCAAAACGAGCGTTTCGTACGAGACTTCTTCCAAAAGTTGCGTGCCAAGTTTTCAAAACGAGCGTTTCGTACGAGACTTCCTCCAAAACTCACATGTCAAAGTCTGCAAAACGAGCATTTCGTACGAGACTTCCTCGCAAAGTCAAGCGGAAACACCCATCGGAGCACACACATCACGCAGCCCTGCCAAGCAGTTTCGCGAGTCCAGTCCCTCCAAACAATACCCGCTCACACGCCAGTCCCACTGTGACAGCGACATTCCCCCCTACCACAACTCACAACCTTACAATTCCCTGCGCCTGCCACGAATCTTTCCGCATCCACACGTCTAACGCGCACAAAGTACTGCGCCTGCCACGAAATGTCACCTCCGTCACACTTCGCAACCTCACCATTCCCTGCGCCTGCCACGAGAATCGCACTTCCACGCCTCAAAACCCACACAAAGTACTGCGCCTGCCACGAAAAGTGGCAATATCATCTCGTGTCAGCTTCAACAAAATTTGCACCACACCACACGTTTGGAATGATTTCGACCCGTTCTGAGCACACTCCCATCCACCAAAATCGCCACTTCAGCTCAGACTGGTCACGAAAACAGAGCTTCGATGCCACACCCTGAAACGCAAATCCCAATGGCACGGCCACATCCAACACCCCAAAAACACGACTCTCCAAACGCTAATCCCAATGGAACTGCGTAGCAAACTGAGGATCTCACAAAACGCTGCGCCTGTGCAGCGAAATGCATCACGCTTCTTGCGCGACATGTCATTTTCATGCAAATCACAATGGAATAGCGTCGCAAACTGACACGTGACACATCCATGAAAAGTCACTTGCAAAAGCTTCCCCCAATGGCAGCGCCTTAGCGCTCTACCGCGAATGGTTGCGGACGGTTGCGAACGTAGAAACAACGGATGCGAACAAGGCTCTACCCCCAGACCCCCAAGAGTTAAACGAGAACCCTTCGCTACGCATTCGGGAAAAAGCATGAAACATATTTGGAACATGTGGGTTTGGTACCTGGAAAGGGGTTGACTTGGTCCGCTGTGGTGAATTCATGGGAGCTGAATTCAACCATTGAAGCTACTGGAGTTGGTCTGGAGAATCTGGAGCTGTCTCAATTTTCCTTTTTCCTTCTAACGCCATCTCTCTAATGCCTTCTACTGCACCCCAGGATCACGCCTCGCTGTCAAGTCAATTTTGTCCTACGCTGTCTTGGAATCCCCAAAAAGCGTTCCCCAAATCCCTAAGCCTCCAACCTACTAGAGATGGCCTTCAACCTAGTTCTGATCGTGGCCCAAACACCTGATGTCACCACCCACTGCAGCCAAGGCTGCAGGCCAGCAATGTGCCCTGGAAGCATCCCACCTTGAGAAAGGTCTGCAATTTCTCACGAACCAACACCCGCGACACCCACTCTTTTCTTTCTGCAAGATATTGGATTATTGTTTTGTTTGTTGAGTGATTTCAAGCTATAGCTCGCCTAAGTGGATCAAGTATAAATGTTGCAACACCATGAAAAGCAAATCTTTGCCAATCAACGGAGTTGGGACCAATCTACTGAGTCTTAGTGTTCCCGAGTTCCGCTTTTTCATTCCAAGTGGTGAGAAGGTGTTTGAAAGGGTGGATGTTTCTTCAACACCAAACTCAGAAGTAACACCTATACCTATACTAACTACATGAAATGACCCATGACTCCACCACCGGCTCGTTCGTTTCACGCATTCGCTCCAGGTGGCTGTAGGGTGTCTCGACGTCCCTGGTGATTAAGGTCACACGGACCCCAGGAAGTGGTTCCATGCCGAGCATTCCTCGCCGAGCATTTCGATTTCGATATCGAAGTGTCAAGAAGCATAGCTTATAACCATTGGACCATAGCTTCCCACAATTTCACTGCAACAAAGATATCTCATGTCATCTTCTAACGAATCGGTTTCAGTAAGTCAGCGAAACACAGCAAAATATTACCATCTCCAAACCATATTGGGGCAGGCACTTTCATGGAGGCGAAGGAACTTCTTCAACTTAGCAGCTGGCGGCATCGATCGATTGTTGCACGACAACCGCATGAAAAACAACTTGGTGATTGGAAACCCATCCAATCTTTAACATCAACTGCGCTGTGGCCACCTCTCCTCCCTCCAGGCCCCTCTTTTTGTGGACGAGGGTCGCAAGACATTCACGTGAGAATGGCCGCCACCCACCAAAACCAAATCTTTGGCAATGGGCGTCCGTTCCCAGTCCTTCTATCGATTGGAAACGTGCCGTTCTCAAACGTGCTGTGTTTTTTTACGTGGTAATACTTTGCATGTGCCAAGGTTGAGGGGTGCCCGTTCTTATGAAAAGAATATTTATATAGGTTAGAGGCCATCGCGAACGAAGAAATGATGACGTCTTGCCCGTCGGAGTTGTAGCTGTTGCAAGGTGCCCCCCAAATCTCGGAACCAATCTTTCGGTGCAACGGACATGCTGGCTGCCGCATCAGACGCGGTCATCTGACAGCCGAAGGCCCAAAGGAGCTCCAGAAGTAACAATATGTGCAATGCTGAGAGGGCATTCACCAATATCAAAGTAATTTACATCATCCTAAATCTTACAGTAGCTGATCATTTTTGCTCCCTCAGCATTTCGAAAAAATCCTGGTCGTCCTGCTGCAGTTCCAGCTGCCTTGGCACCTCTTCAAACAGCCGCTGCGCCCGCTGCAGCGTCGCTTTCGCCACTGCGATGTCCGCCGCACGGAAGACGAGGCCCGGTAGGTGCTGCATGTGGTGAACGCCTTGCGAATTCGATTTCGACGTTGCCGAAGTGCTTCGAGATGAAGACCGAACACCGTTTTCGCTTTGTTTGGCCGAGTTGATGTGTGTTCTTGGCAATCCATCTCAATCATGCCCTGGACTCCAGGGCCTCTTGGTTGGGCCTCTGTGTAATTTCAACTTGGACCTCCACTCATGGCACTGCGCCCACTGTGGCTTGTCACTGCGCCTGTGGTGATGCCCCAACCTGCGCCCTGGCGCCTCGCATCACGGACGTCGAAATCAACAATCAACGCCACCCTGGAAGTCAAAGACTATAAACATATATTCTAAAGGACCTGAAAGGGAATTTCCTTTACTTAGGAAAGTATGGTCTTTGGACTTCTAGGGAACATGCAATTAATCATTTTGATGGTGCTTTGCCATTTGGAGATACAAACCTTTGGACCAATATACTTGATCTGGACATCCCTGCCACAACTCTTACTCCCAATTTCATATATGCTTCCTTCATGAAGCACGTGCAGGGCCATTCTCAGTCAACATTGGATTGTTGCGGGGATTTACATGGTTTCCCACCCTCTGTTGATTGATTTTCAATTGTTGAAACAAAGCCTGTGGCACCATCGACCTCGGACAGAGGCGCAAGAGGGAAGCCATCCGGAACCCTCCGCCGACTCCTGATGGCCTCGCCACATCAATCTGGTGAAAGCGCTCCAAACCTCAGCTGGCTGATGTTCTTCCATGTGAACATATAATTAATAGGGAGTCTTGCAATGAATCGGGCACAGTATGCTTGAATGATGTCTCGGAAGATATCCTTTGATCTGCCTCTTGCAGATGGGTCATTCTTTCAGGGGAGGCAGTGTGCTGTACCGTTCCTAGTTCCTCACCTCCTTCCAAATCCCTCAGTTTGAGAGGCTGGAATGCCCACACAATCCATTGGGCGATTTCCCTGCCAAACCAGACAGAGAATACTGAAGCATGGACAGCTCTTGGAGATCACCACTCCCATACCTGGATCTTCCAACGCAAACTTGCACCAGACTAGTAACAAGTGCATCGCTACTCGTAGCAAGAAGCTACGAGTAGCGATGCACTTGTTCCTAGTAGCGATGCCCTTGTTACTAGTAGCTTCTAGTCCAAGTTCGACATTTCGCGCGGCGCAGGCGCCTAAAATCGCCCGGAGCTCCATGACCCGCGCCAGCCGCTGCCGCCAGGTGAGCTCTGCCGTGCCATCCTCCAGGCTCGGCCAAAGCACCTGCGGTCGGACGGGAGTCCGGACGCGTGGACAGGTGGGGTCTGTGGACGGGTGGACGGGTGGGGAGACTTCTTGGCAATGTACCTGGCATGGGGAGACTTCTAAAAGCAATCTAGACTAGACCTTTCTTCCTTTTTTTCTTTTTCTTTGTTTCTAATAGCGATGGCCTCAAACCTAATAGCGATGGCATGGGGAGACTTTTGGAGATGAGAGTTGGAGACTTCCTCGAGGGTTGCCCATCTGGTGAAGTGCTTGGGACTAGCCGGAGTTTCCTTGGCGCAAATGTGAACAGCATAGTTCCTGAATGAGTGTGGCCAAACAACGTAACACCTGGGAAATTACATTTTTATCCTGAGCACTTGCCTTTCAGAAAGGCCATATGGGCAGCGGACAATATTACTTTTGTAGCCAACAAAACATTTAGTATTATATATTGTCTTTTGGTGGAGATCATTTCGTTTTCCATGGAAACATGGCCCTGAGGATAGATCATGGTCACGACGAGACTGAACAAGTAAACCGACATTTCTTTTCGGTCATCCATCTCATACGCAGAGGTGAATTTAAAGAGGACTTTACCCACGCATCCTCAACCCCCAAAGAATCCGCGATTAATTCTAGTACATCTAGCTTCAACCGGATCAGCCTATGGCTTGCCACTATGATTTAATTATCGGCTAGCAATGGATCGGAAAAGGATACTAGACATACTTTATGCACTTTTCCCAATCGAGCAATCTAGACCTTACTTTCCTCCTTCTCAGACTCTTTGGACAACTTGCTGTGACTTTGTCCAGATCGAGACGGTGCTGTTCCCGAACGCCTTCAGCAACCCTTCGCGCCATAGCAGTAACCAAATCTGTCGCTCAGCATCCCAGGGAGCCTTTCAACGGCGAGTTCAGTGAGCTCCTTCGCTGGAATTTTCAGGGTGCAACAGTAGTAGATTGTACTGATCTGATGGATATTATCTGAAGAATTACATTTTTTCAATGATCTACTCCTTCACTTATTCAGATCAACTCCTTTCGCCCTCAAGTCATCCCGACTCGCCACTTCAATATTCGGGATGCCCGATCCTAAACAGGTCAGGTCACGCACAGTGCAAAAGGTGGAAACCGATGGACTAGCGACTAGTCACTACTCTTTGACCTTCAATCTGAAACAAAGTCAGGATACACTGCAGGGCATCCACCCATCAACAAATCCACCTTTTCAGAGCTGTTTGTCGTTGAACTAAACGACATGGCTGGAAGAATCATGGTCTTCCATCGTCTAAACAACGAGCGGGTGGTGCTGATCACTCCCACATCAAGCGAAAAACCTCCGGGCCGAGGAAAGATGAGGTGAGGAATGTACAAGTACCTGATCGATTTCGATATTCTGATCCATTCAAAACGCGCCAAAACTCAAGAGGCGGACACACCAAACATGTCCGCCCAACAGAATGCGGGCCAAACGGCCCAGCTTCGAGTCCGAGGTGCCCAGGGTTGTGTCGCCCAGTGTCGTAAGTACAGTACCACACCGCAGGTCCCAGCGGCCACTGCGATCTTCCACGGCGCCATCAGCTCCATCGGCAACGCCAGTGGTGCGTGCGATGTGCTTTTGGCAAGCAGGAGGTGGCTAATTTGTATCTGTCTGATTGGAAGACAGGTTTTGGTGAACATTTTGGTGGTGTTTCAACATGTTTTAACTGCTCGTCCGGGCCAGTGTCCTTGATGATAAACAGCCTGGATGTGCCCGGATCATCTTGGGAGCAGCGCCAACCCCTGAAAGGAATGCGCAGTAGAAGTAAACAAATCGTCGTAAATTACACAACTTACTAGCTTCCCCGGAGGTAGCGTGAGTTTGATCCTTACTAGAAGTTTCGCTTTAGAGTTTGCATGTGAAGTCCTGCGCCTGCATTTGCCATGTTCAATATCGTTAAGCAAACAGACCAACGATGGCAGTTTCCCCACCGTCTTGCTGGGCTTCCATGTGCCTGCCGTCTCCCGCCCGTCCTCCCGTTCGTCCGCCTGGGACCCGGCTTCCTCCATCACTCCTGTCTGGCCGTTGCACGGTGGGATCCTTCGAGCTGGGCTGCAAACCGCACGGGAAATTGTTCTAATGCCATTCTTGTGCTCATATTTATATGGAGCCGAAGCTACATATTCAGCCACACCTGGGCACATGTTCATTGAAATTTGCTTTGGTGCACCATTGGTTTACAAGCAACGTGCCTCGGTGGATGGGTGAACATGTACATGTGCTAATCACTTGTGTGGCAAGAGTTTGTCAGATGATGTAGGCCATGTTCAACTAACAACCTGCGCGCCGCTACACCCAACTGCTTCTGCTGAGAACTTCCTTGTCTGCGTTGCGCAATCTTCAACCACTGTACGCACTGTCGGAGCTGAGCCTTGGCGCAATTAAGGCAAAATCCCACATCCCTCATCCCTCTGCGTCCTCCATTTCTGATGGCCTTCTTTGGCCTGATTGTACGGGAGCTGCAGCCATGCTAGGGTTTGCCTCGGTAACACGTGGGCAGTCAAGCTTGCTGGACAGGTTGGCAATTGGATCAAGTAGGATCATGCGTGTAGCACAGGTTGGTCAGGTCGAGCGACCGCTTTGGGGTTCGACCTCCCGCCGGACTGGCCTGTGACTTTGAGCTTTTCCTCTCGGATCTGACGCGTTTGGCCGGAACTGACGCGATCAACATTTGCCATCACAGAATTTCGTGGCGATTGGGTCTGGCATACGGCTTTCTTCAAGATGTGGACCCAGTACTGGAAGTGTGGCAAGATTTGCCTTCGATGCAACGCATCTCGAAGGCCGCAACAATGATAGTTTCAATGATGAACCACTGAAGAATGGGAAAACGGGGTCGACTGTATTCACGCAACCTCCATGCAGGTTTGGTCCATTGTTCACTGATTTCAATCGCAGCTGGCAAACAAGGGCAACCTCTGAGTGGATTCAGGATTGCTTGGGAGCACCGCCTAATCCACTGGCGTTTGTTCAAGGAGTTGACGTGGCGATGTTGAGCCTTTCCCGAATGCTTTAGAATCATGTTTGGTCATTTCTCCCAACCGCAACACTTGTTTTGGGTCACACGGTGAACAATGTGATAAAGCACTGTTCACCTTGAAACAAATCAAGGAAATTCTGTTGAGCTGAGGCGATGGGACATCTTTATCAATACGTTCGTTCATGGACCCAGGCAACAAACATGGATAATACCTTGAGGTCTGTTGATGCTCACGCCAAATGGGTTGTAAGATTTTCCCTTCTCCACCATCCATTCCTGCCAAGCTGGAAACTGAGGTGGAGCTGAGTCAAGGACTTCAGCCCATGCTGGTGCAGCGTCCAGGGGAGATGGCTGGTGATTTTGCAAGCCGCAAGCAGCTGTGGAGTGTTGGAATTGCAACAGTGTTCCTTGTTAGTATTAACAGTTTGTGTGTTGGTGGATAAGACAAGGTGATCGAACTATAAACAGGTATAAGACTAAGCAATACTTAGTACAAGGCGTATTGTCAACTCTCACTGATCTAGCTCGTGTAAGGTCTAGCTTTGCTGAATGGCAGTGGCTGACAGAAGAGTATCCTGGTGACAAAGGCTCAAGGCCTTCATGACTTGGGCAAGCTGTGCCTTCACTTCTGCCATCTTGCAGCAGCGCGGCTGCGATGCAGGGGGCGTTGAGATGGCTGGCGCTACCGAAGACGCACCTCCTTCATGACATTTGTGATGATCTCTTGGTGATTTTTCCTAAGCCCGAGGGCATTCCACTGCTTTACTGGGGAAAGCTATAAGGCACGGTTGGGTCCAGGATACTTCATGCAGTTCATGCTCTTTGCAGGACTTGATCTCTTCACGACGGTATCTGGCCATTCGCCCGAAACTTGCCTCATCTTGGCGTGATGCTAGCAGTACTGCAAGCTTTTGGCATGGGAGATGAGAATATTCATACATATTCATTGAGGTCCAGGGGTGTTACGGTACATGGTGTTACCCTGCTTGAAACCATATTTATGAAGCCAAAAAAACGCATATACGGTGTTACCTGACACATCTGTGCCCGATGAAGGAGCTATCGTTTCACCCTCCAAATTTCTTCACCGACCTTGTTCAGTCTTTGGATGTGTTTTTGTCGCAACAAAGGCAAACACGAGGCCGTAAAATGATCCCTGGGGACAGCTCAAAACTCAACACCAGGTAGCTTGACCTTGAAGGTAGGTCAATCATGTATATATCCTGGTTTTGGCCCAGAGCCATACTGTGTTCCTTTTTGTCCCCTGTCCCCAGTATGTATCATCGGTGGATTTTCAAATCAACAATCCGCACCAGACTAGCAAAAGAGTGTGCGAGTATCAACCGAAAGAACAAGCTAATGATATAACAGTACACCTGGTAAACCATAAGTCAGCAGATGTTTAGTCATTTTTTGGGAAAAAGAGTGCTTTGTGAAACAATGACACTTTCTCAACTTCACAGATCCAAAAACACACTTTTGTGTAATATTTGGCAACATTCCAAACATGTTACACCTGAGAAGCTGCAAAACGAAAGCCAGCGCTTCCCTTTCTCGACAACTGCGCGTCGAAGCAATCAAAAGAGCTCGCGCAGCCGCTTGCGGCCGCGTGTCAAATCTGCTTCATGTCTTGTTCTGCCCACACATAGGTAACCATGCAAAAGCAAAAATGGCACTCTTGCATCACCACCCGCTCCAAAATCACTAAAATATAACCTCCAGTTTACGTATACCTTTCTCGGGCCACCCCCCCCGACCCCCGACCGACTTCACACATAGATAGTTCCCATCCACATTCAGATGAAGCAAAAGCCAAACAATGCACCAAAATTCGAGGTGGCCTGGGACCAGAGGCTCGCTGCCCGAAACTATGTGTTCAGGCCACCTCAGAAATGAAGATATGCGAAGCAAGGGTCCTGAGGTGTCTCTGTGACAAGGCTTTTGTTAAAACAGACAGTTTTTCAAGCTAAATTCCAGGTGGCCTCAGACCAGCATTTGCTGCCCTAAAAGACTCTGTTCAGGCCACCTTAAACATGAAGGTCTGCGAAGCGAGAGCAGAGCATGCACATTGTCCTTCTGCTGCTTGAATGGTGCCTTTTGTTTACTTAAAAGTTCAAGACCTCCCAGCTGTTTCCACCTCTTGGCTTCCCAGTCTTCCCAGGGTTCATCTAGGGAGCCAGGCCATTTTCAGAATCTTCTGGATTTGAGCTGTTCGAGTTCCTATTGAAGGGTATAGTTGGCGAGTGCGTCACCACCCGCTCCAAAAGCATCAAAGCATTACCCCCCAGAGTTTACGTATATCTTTCTCGAGCCACACATGCACAGCAAACCACAGCTTTGAAGTCTCATCCGTGCTTTGAACTTGTATAGGTGTGTAAGAGGTATAGCAGCATAGCATTTATACGGACCCAGGGTAGCTACAATTCTGTTCCCAGGTATCGCGCGCATGAGGCTTCAAAGCTGTGGATTGCTGTGCGTGTGTAGAGGTTATCGAGCGGTTGACGGAAAGGGAACTTGAAGTACTATACCTGGTAGCCGCACTATAGCTACCCTGGGTCTCTACCTGGCAAGGTGCCAACTACACCTTTCCATTCAGATGATGCAAATTGCATTTCTGGCATCACCACCCCTCAAAAATCACCTCCAACGCAACCTCAAAAAACCTTCCCTCGACGCACCCTCCTCCCCCAGCATGTGCCGAGTTTACGTGTACCTTTTGCGGTCCACCCCCCCGAGAGCCCCTAACTACTCACTTCGTTCGCGAAACACAACTCCGCTGGCGCCTTCTACGAAGGCTGGCTTTCGTAATAAGAAACCGGATCCAAAGGGTTTCCAGCCACA